TGAGTTTTGTAATATAATGTAATATTATTTGTAATATAATAAAGGTTATTTCCAAAACAAGCCATAGGCATAAAAAGGACCAAGGAGAGAATACAATTCCAGATACGCATACATTTATCCACATATATGTAATTACATAAATATAAATCAGTAAAGGTTATAAGAAAGCCAAATTACAACTTGCTCACAACGTTTGACAGAGACGTGGAATACGTTCAGTCGTGCTGCTGCAGAGCAGACTGATCTCGTCCACTTTGCAGGCGAGGCGCAGTTCATCTCAAATGAGCCTATTTCGCCTTGTCATAGTAGGAAAAGCACAGTTGTTACTTAAGGCTCTATTCAAGTGTCCCAGTAAGCCATGGCAGCAGGCTCGTTTGAACCACGTTTCACTTGGAAAGGGGACGTGAGCAGGCCTTGGCAGCAGGGTGCAAAGCTACAGAGAGCTGCAGTCAAGATGGGGAGTTTCCAACAGCCTTCACAGTCTCAACAGGAAGTCAAAGAAACACTCACATGTCCTTAGATCCACTTCTGATTTAATTCAATGTTATTAGACCAATCTGTTCAGCTTGTACTCAGTCTCCAATAATTACTGTTGTAATTATGTTCTTTTATACGACAGAGTAGCCTATTAAAATTCTATTTACGCTATCTGTAATCATCATGACGTTCACTTCACACTCAAGTTTAAATGGGCTACAACAGATGTGCCATCCTCTCAGTTTGCCGCTGTATGTAAGTCAGCTGCCCACACTTGATTGCTGTCTGTCACTCAAAAACTAAAGAAATGCAAAACATGAATCAATAATTAAAATTCACAGGGAGAGGAAAGCAAAGATATAAAACAATGCTTTTCATTATTGATCTGTCAGATATTTAAACTGTCAGGGCTTCACATCACATGTCATTTTAAGAATCCTCACATCTCACTATTACTTCATACCTTAAGAATTCAAAAAGATTTATATTGTAGACTACAACTATTACATATTGTATGCAGTCTGAAAGCTATCTGTAAATTAATCTGAATGTATTCATTGTGATGAAAGTGACCACACTTATCCTGTTCACAGAATAAACCGTGTAATAAAATCAACATCTCTCCAATTAAACACAAAAATGAAACGTGTCTGTAGAACACCATGTAGCTGATCCAACAGAGAGAGCTAGACGTTTCCCATCATGCCCTGTAGTTCTGCTGTCAGTAGAAAGCAGCTGCCTTGATCTCATGAGGTTATCTTTGCTTATGTTTGCAAGAAGTCAGAGCAAGTCGGGATCAAGTTGGATAGAAATGTAACCCGGATGCACGGTGCTCCGAGATGTCAAAATGTCTGTGAAAAAGGATTGTTCCCATTTTAGCTCTGCCTAACCCGGTGGTTAATTAACACCTGTGTGAGTGAACCAAAATGTTCAAGGTTCAATGCTTTGTGTTGAACTTAACTTCATTTTGCATCCTCCACACGTAATTCTTAAAAGTTCTCAACTACAAGACATTAAATGTAGGCTATACATTCAAACCAACCAAAAACAGTTTATAGTTTCTGACTCCAGCACTGTGTAATGCATGTCCTCCCCACTGATAGGCTGATTTCAATGGTGAGGTCACATCAGAAAAATATGCCCATATATGGTCAAGTAAGACACAAGTAGTTAGGCTATTCAAACCCATGTAGCTAAGCAAATTGTTAGTTCATATAAGCCACATGTGTATCTTTTAACTTAAGTAAGTTACTGACATGGTTAAATATGTCAAAGACTCATTTGACATATAATTACTCAAAAGTAACTTTATGTTTAATGTAACGTTTGTTACAACGTTTACCTGTTGTCTTCCTGTGCCTGAAGTTGACCGCGTTCTCAGGGGAGAAGTTGGCTGTATTTTAATGGATGAAAATTAAAGAAGTAGTTAACTACTTCTGATACAGCATTTGACCTGACACAAGCAACCACAACAGGAACATTCAACATTGGCTGATTGATAGCTAACGTTAGCCCTGATATATCGAAAACTGCCAGCTTACCTGATTTAGCTTAATTGGTTAGTGCACATCGGTAATCCCGCGAGAACTTTTACATCATCTTTATGAATCCGCTTCTTGACCTCTGTGGACGTCACATTGTCACATTGCCAATAATTAGTGTTAATTACTTACTTCAGTGGTTGTCTTCTGTTCAACGTGAACTTCCTACCGCCCCCTACTGGGACTGCGGGTTCCCACTGCAGTCACTCACTCACGGCCCAGGACCTAGATTATATGCAAACACATAATGGCCTTCCAGAAAGAATACATCTTTACATTTGCTAAACTGGATTGACAGAAATATCCTTCTTCTTGCAGAAGCTCAACTTCTCAGCTATGAGGATTTTCTTACTTCTAAAGTCTTTCTTGTCGCTTATAAAAAACAGTAATAAATGCTATTCCTAATGGAATCCTTCAGCTGATGAAATGCCACACAGAGACAAGAATTACACACATTTGAGCCTACTTTCTAAAGTAACAAATGTACCAATAAATATATGAGGACTTATCTCTACAGCAAAAGGAAAATTACTCTTTGTAATTTGTGTTGAACTAAATGACAAACATCTGTTCTTTGTCAGTACACATCAGTATTCTGGATATATAGAATTGTCAACTTATTACATTTATTATGGAAATGTCACATCCATAGAGCCATCATTTGAACCTTTTAGAATTGAATGTAGAAAGAACTGAGTCTGTCCGATCTATAAACAATGAAAACAATGTCCTCAGTTAGTATGCTACAGCAGTGTTTAATGGAAATATGAATCTGACCTTATTGCCTACATTTCATTACATTACTCCTTCAGTAATTCTCTTCCTATATTTATTATTACCCGTTGCAAGTGGAGCCATGTTCTATTATATAATGTTCCATACCTTTTGAGTTATGTAAGTTTAAAGTTCAAAACAAAAATACATAATAGCATTTTATTTATATTGACATAACTAATATAGGTTCGTTCAGTTTTTCATCAATCACTGTTCTGATTAGGGAAACCCTTTCTTAAAGCAATTTTATGGTGGCTTACTAGTCATATTGTCCAGCTATGCCATTTTGCTACACTGAAAATGGGCCATGGAAAGAAGTGGAGACATAGCCAAATATGAACCCGGACAAAGTCCAGGCTTAACACTACCTGGGACTATGATAGTACCAAAACAAAAAAAAACACCATGTCACAATCAGGTTTCACACAGCAATTCAACCCAGGACCTGTGTCTGGGTTTCATGGTTTTATTGGAAATTAGAGACAGGGCACAGTTACAGCAGAAAGGCTTAGTCAAAGTGTAATGTTAAACCCCTGTGCAAATATTAAAATACTAAGTCTATACAGTATGAAAATAGGAAGGCATAAGGGGTTGTGCACATCCAAGGTAGGATAATGGATAAAAACTACATCTCACTTCACACCTTTGGGCACCCACTAGAAGTTGCCATAGCTTCACAAGGTTCACAAAGCCTTCTAGATATTAAGGGGTGTAAGAAAAACTTTAAAAATATATACAGCAGGCCTATATCATCCTAGCGTTTTATTCATTCCTGTAAAGAAAACTACATGGAATTGTAATTTTCAATGTTTAGATTATTATTTGAGATTAAGACCAATTTTTAGGGAGAAGAAAACACAAAATGTATACATAATACAGACAGAGAATTGAAGATTCTAATTTATTGAGATGCACCTGTATCAGAACAATCCATTTCAGCTACGTTGACTTGAGGATTCTCTCCCTTAAAACAGGATACATGATTTTACTACTGCTGGTGTCACTATCAACATTTTACCAGTTTCCAGTTTGTGCGTAATGTTGTAGTCAAATGCTGTTCCTTCAGTTTGACCACAGAGTCTTCAGACTGTGCATTAAACCTTACTCCAGTTTTTTAAGATTTCCCCTGCTGCATCCAGAGTACTATCTTGCTGTTGAGAGAAAGACAACTGAAGGTTATGAAAACACCTCAGCCAACAATAGTCTTTACGAGATCATTTTGGATGTCCTGTTCTTTTGTATTTACCTTAATGAAGCAAAGGCGAATATATTTCTGGAACTGCTTCTTGGACTCATCTCCAACAAACGCTGTGACTGGAATGGCTGCCAGTTTCTGTAAATAATATCATTATTAAGAACAGCAACAAAAAATAAAAACAATGGCTGCAGCGTGAGTGCAGAATTGCAGTATTGTAGATTATAGGCAAAACAAATGAACTTACCTTTTCTTTAATCATCCACTTCACAAACTTGTAGTCATATGCTTCATCATCGAGCATGTGTGACAGGTCCTGATCTACAATGAACACAGAGCAGAGGAATATTCAGCAATAGGGCTGCAGTCAGTCCCACAGCTGATCCAGTTCCAAGTTGGTAAAATACCAGGATTTTTGAAGTTTCCAAATTTTAATCGCCTGACGTTTGTATTGGTATAAGGCAAAGCAGGAAGCATTTCCGAATTAAATCTGAATTTTGTCTGTCTAAATATTAAGTTACACATTAAAATTTGTTTCATTTCAAAGCTGCAACAAAAATATTTTTTTTCTATATTTCAGAGGTAGTCCCCTGGAATAAGTATGGCTTTATGAATGTCAATTATTGAGTTACATTCTAAAATGACTGAAAATAATTTTTACTTTTACTACAATTGCTGTTAGTTTTTTTGTTCCTGCATTTAAAAAAAAGGCACATTCTAAAGGGATGCAAATAGATGCTTAGGTGCAAATAAACCTAGGCCCCCATGTTCATGTGTCAAAGTGTCCTTGAGCAAGACACTGAACCTCTAGTCGCTACTCGGAGGGTTACATCTGAAAATATATCAGAAATATAGGACACATTTCCATTCAATGTATGTTAAACTACTGAGAATATGACAATAATGGGTGAAAGGTCCCTGTTTTTCTTCTTCTTCTATAAACTGAGCTACTATGTTAAACATATCTGGTAACTCTCCCATCACAGTGACAATGTTAGCATGCACTTAATATATATATTGTATAATATATACAAAATATACAATATTATATATAATAATGCTATATATTATAATGAATTTTCCTACTTTTCCTTCCCTTTCCCTCTTTTTCAAAGTGCAGTCATGTTTCTTGTGGTAAAAGTGGAACAGCTGGAGGCGCTCAAACCATTTTGCCTCCTGGCATCAAAAGAGGAGTTTGACCTGTTGATAAATCTTCCAAAATATTTAAAAACAGGTTTCTACTGACCAGAAACCAGAGTTGACCATAAACAGGCAGGAGGCTGTGTGTCACATACTGCGGTAAAACGCGGTATTTTAAGAATGTATCCACACTACTTGCAAGCACCAACACCAGTGTAAAAGTGCTAGTGATGTCAGTTTAAATGCACTGTAACTCACTGAGAGATGTGACGTCCACGAGCATGAAATAGCCTCCCTCTGGGATGACGGGAGTCATACCAGCCTCTTTCACAATGGCAGCCATGCGGTCCCTCTTGCCCTCGAGTTCTTCTGCCAGTGAGGAGAAGTAGCACTCAGGCTGACCCATAAGATCAACGTTCCTGAGCAAACCTTGTGCCACTGCCTCCTGAAGACATACACACAGATAAAGGTTGTAATTAAATGATCCTTGGATGGATGGATGGATTTCAAGGAACATTTTTGAAAGCTGTGCAAACTTGCCTGTAGAGGTGTTGGGCAGGTGTACAGAGTATTCTGCATGACGGTCTGAAGATGCTTTATCAAGTGTTCAGGTCCTATAGACCAACCAAGCTAGGAGACACAAATGTCAACTACGTGATATGAAAGAACTGATTGTTGGTTGTTAGAAACTGTGTTCCAAATATACAGATTTCTTACCTTCCACCCAGTAACACTAAATGTTTTCCCTGCACTGCTGATAGTGATTGTTCTATCCCACATTCCAGGCAGAGTGGCTATAGAGAACAAAATAAGATTAAAACTTGAGGAAATTTTCATTTATTTGAGAAAATGTTTAAAAATAAAGCGTAACCTTTTTTTAAGTTGTCAAATTTAAGAACATAATTGCACGCCAAAAAAGATGCTTTCTATAGAAATGTGCAGTGAGTGAATACTTTAAATGCTCCTCAGTGTAGGATGAGACTATGTGAGGCTCCAACCAAACTAGTCCTGGCTGCAGCGCTCAAGGGTTGGACTTTGGTCCTTTGCTGAGTGTCACCCCCCCCCCTTTGCAGAATGGCTGCAAAAGCTCTGTGATGCAATCAATCAGTACCCGGCTAAGGAAAGCATTTCACCAGTTAGCTTGCCGGCCACAGTAGCACGCCAACTAGCACTGCAAGTAGTTACAGTGCTTCTCCACCAATGCAGGACATGTGAATGCATTTTGCCGTTTCTGCAACTTTCTGGTGCGACTGGACCCTAAGGCAAGCGATGCTGCATGTTTTAGAGATATCGATGCCTGTATCTGTGTGTAAAGAGTAGAGCAGCCTCTATTATGTAAAGAGATAGATGACAGTAGCATATGTAATGGTATGTTGCGCTGAAAACGTGCCAATTTTGATATGTTGGTGTCCTTTGTAGACGAGCCACTCATAAACCTCATCACTGAAGCACAGTGTGTCATGTTTAATACAGAGGTCAGCAATCATCTGCAGCTCATCTCTGGTGAAAACCTGCAGGAAGAAGACAGGAGCTACTGAAAGCACTTGTTTTCTCTGTCAAGTCACTAGTGTTTTCCTCAGACACAATGAGTGCTGACTAATGTATACTTACCTTCCCAATAGGATTGTTGGGGGTGTTGATGATGATGGCCTTTGTCTTAGAGTTGAATTTAGTGGAAAGCTCATCTGGGTCAAGAAACCAGTCGGCACTTGTGATTGTCTTCTTTCCGGACTTCTAAAATATTGCACAAGACATTTTGTGTTATTGCGTGTAAATTCTACAAACATCCACAAGGCGAACAGTAGTTAAAGTAAATACTGCATGTATGGAACATACAGACTTCACATTAAACTCACAAGGCGTAATGGGATCAACACAGGCGTGGCCCCCGCCATTCGCACCATAGGTACATAGCAATCAAAATAAGGCTCTATTATGATGACCTGGAGAAAAAAAACATGATACATTAAATATTCTGTAAATACTGGAAGCACATTTGTGAATGTATAAATGTCGATAAATGTATGGCCCAGTTGGAAATAGAAATGTCCTTACCTCATCTCCCTCTTCCACTAGTCCTTGCATGGTGCTGAATAAAGAACCATAACCTCCTACTGTGACCAGGATTTCTTTGAAGGGGTCGATCTGGCGCCCATAGACCTTCCCATAAACCTGAGAAAGGGCCTTCACCAAAGATGGATGCCCCTTGTGAATCAACAGAAGACATAAGTTATAAAAAAAAAAAACCTACAGTAGATAGAGGATTTCTGGCAATGGCAAATATTTCATTGAATACTGTATTGTAATGTACATTTTAACTTGGTACTTGATATTAACTTCAGTGGTTGCTCCTATCTTAGCACTTACAAACTGCAGCTTTGAAAGACCAGCGTGTATTGTTGGATACAAGATGACAATAATCAACTACAGTTCATCTTTTCTGCACTGTAAAATTTGACCAAATAATCAACTATAATTTTTTACATTTGATTGTGAGATTTGATTGAATAATGTCCAACACCGATAATTTCTTAAATTACAGCTTACTACAATAATAATAGCTGAATTGTAGTTTATAGCGCCTCTCACACAATGTGACAGGCCTCTGTGCTGTACAAATATTATTACAATTGTCAGGACTGTGTCACACTGTGTAAAGGGGCCTTTGGAGGTCAAACACAAAGCATCAAATTCTGTCTCTAGTCTCTTAGCAACACTTTTCCTTTTCAGATGGATTTAGAAGCAATGTTAAATAACCGGTTTCAAAAACAGATTGCGTTTTGTCTTCGTGTCTTACAAAGCCTCTGGTGTACTGGTTCATCCTGTCCACTAATGCCGCCTCTGCTAGGGCCTCCTTGACGTAAGAAGGTGGAGGGATGTCTGGGTAGCCTTGGCCCAGGTTCACAACGGATGGGTCTGCTGCCAATGATGTAAACGCCACCCTTAATTGACAATAAAATAAAGCGAGATCACAAATTGTTCCTGACCTAAGGGCAAATTCTAAAAAAACATCTTCTAAACTAAACCTATTGCTATGGTTGTATATCAACTTTGACTGACAGTCATTTCTTCTGCTACATGCACAGTCACCTATATGTGTTTTCCTTGCATGTTGTTTTCAAACATTAACACATTATAATGGGAGAAACATGGTTTAAACTGTAGACGAGGAATACAAATACATCAGTCATTTCACATACAGTTCCCCCACTTCCTTTCAATTGTGTAAATGAAATGAATCAAAACAAAATGAAATAAAGAATATGGGGCTACTGTACTTCACACCCTACTTGCTGGAATTACTGTGCTCTTCTAACATGCGATCTGGCTGGCTTTCATGTAATACAGGACTAGTGTAAAATGGAAACTTGATCAGAGGTCTGCAAACAAAACTCCTCTCCTGCTGTGCTCTACAAAGAGATCAACTGTTCTGTCCTTTCACTTACCAGACATTCTTGTCCAGACCTTCAATTCTCTTTGAGTGAGTGTGCCGTGAGGTCATTGTATGCTGCAACACAACACCAAGATACTAAATTAACGGCTTATTAAGGATCCATTTACATTTTTACCTTCTTGCAATACCAACAATGTACTTACTTTTCCAACAAGCTGGGTGGTAGAAGTAAAAGAATCATTAAACTTCCACGTATGGTGCTGTTCATTAACACACTAGGACTTTGGTCAGTGGTTTTATAACTGTTGTGACCACACTGGTGCATCATTTACATTACTTACATTTACTTAAATTGCTTTTGTCCAATTTACAGCAAGTCCTGCCAATTAGTTTATCACCAACCAAATATTACGCACAGTAGCTAAATTCAAAGATTTCTGAGATAAACTTACCTGTGAAGTACAAAACCTTCGTCTGCAGGTATTGTTAGCTGAACGACACGCAAACTTGAAGCAATTCAGGACTTGCCGTGCTATGCTCATGCTGCCGAAAGAGAGAGAGAGAGAGAGAGAGATGAAAAAGGTTTTTGCTTAAGGTGCTCCCCTGTGATAGCTGGTAATGGTCTGCATACATGTTTGCTTCTTTCACTCTGAACGCTTGCTCAGCTGTATCTTTCCACATGTACATCTATCTGCAGTTGTTGTAAAGTTCATGTAACTTTTCCCACTGCACCGCTCTTTTTAGGACACCAACTGCAACAAATGTCACCAGAGGCCGGTCAGTGTCTATATCAGACCAATATATTCCCTCTCTCTTCAACATAAAGTTGAATAAAACTGCTCTGAAATGAGGAGGAAGGAGTCGTGAAAGAACAGATAATGTGACAATAATTCAGTGAATCTGGCAAGGCAACGCTGTCTCCCTCTGTTTTCACCTTTTAGTATGTCTGGGTTTTTTCCCCCCAATGTCTTTAATGACAATCCAATAACACATGTACATGTAAGATAAAAAAGAACACATTTAGAAGAGGACATATGTACATTCAAGTAGCTTAATTCAGACAATAATAGTACAGTAAGTTACTAACCTCTGGTCTTTGCTGTTTTTGCTTTTCTGCGATTTGACTAATGAATTGGAGTAGGTTTGTATAGCTGATCGGACAAAAAGTAAGTGAAGAGAGCACCTTGGTCTCTAGTGAATGGCTTTCACTCACTACTGTATTTAAGGTACAGTAGTCCTGTGAAGCTACAACAGTAACGTTAGATGGCGCCAGAATGCTACACATCAGTCCAGCACACAGCCTCAACTAGATGTAGCCCTTCGCAATTAACAATGCCATTATCCGCTACAGCTATTATGAAACCACTCTCGGGGAGGTCTTCCTTCACATTATTTGCCCTCAGCAGATTTGTGTTGCTCCACTGAACCACATGAAGCCTGCATGTTGTTAGCTACATCCATACAACGTATCACGCCGCCTGCCTAACGCTAGCGCCGTCTGGCTAGCTTTAGCTAACGATAGCGACGTTTACTTATGGCTGCTAAACGAGCATGTTGTCCTGTTAGCTTTCTCTTGCAATGATTTACAGTGATGCCAACTACGGCCACCAGTCTTTCTTTAAGAAACACGTACCATGTAACTGTTGCTGACAGAAGTCAAGCCAGCACCAGGTCAGCAACCACAACTTACTTGAAGTTACAGTGTAATGGCAGACCAGGGCTCCGAGTGCCGCGGTCAGGAGGTGAATGGTGGATACTATTGACGGCGTCAAGGGCTGGAGAAAGTGGTGCTGCGTTTACTGTTCGTGGAAAATGGCAATGTTTACATGTAGGTCACGGTCAACGAAGCAAATGTGGTTTCAATGCACAGTGATACTCAGGTAGCATAAAAACGATGGGACCATCGGGAGAAATAGAGCAGGGTTGCTTTAAGTGCTTTATTTGGGACAATGGACATGTTTCCTCTCATTACTCAACACTCACATAACGGGACTTTATCTATTCTAGGACTTTCTACTTGAGAAGCGTGAAAGCAGCATTGTCCCGAGCTGCACTGAACAGCTGTACGGTGATGTCCACTTCACGCACCTTCGAGAAAATTCAGATTTTACATGATTGCTTACTTAGTTTTTTGTCAGTTTTTTGTACTTCTTTGTTTCCTGTCATACTCTGTAATTACTGTTACAGATTATTGTATTACCAAAGCTTCTTGATTTTAAAGTTTGTAAGAAAAAAAAATATATATATATAAAGAAATATATACAGTAGGTCTATATATCAGCATTTCGGTGCGAGTTTACTACGTGATAGTAAAGAGGTCCCTTAAGGAAAAAGGTTGGGAGCCACTGAGTTAGCCTATAATTTTTCATTCTGCTATCAAGTTGTGTTCTGCAGCTACCATACTAGCATTCTGGAAATGAAATGACAGCATATTTAACAGAGAGTGTATTAAGATTATATTTGGAGAAAAGATAATGATGCAATCCTGCATATATGGAGTGAATGTAATTCTGCACAGGCAAATTTTTGCACCATATGTCACCTTTGTGCAAACTGACCTCCTAATTATTATTGCCATCAAAATAGGTGATCACAATAGGCTACAGACACACATGCCCTGTTTCTCAGGGCTTATGATATAAATAAATGGTTATTCCATTATGCAGGAGTTCAGTTTGCACAAATTCATTTATTCATTCATGCTGGCTCCACAATGGAACAAGCTCCCCATTGACATCAGTGTTAAGTTCACTTGAGACTTGGACCCCAAAGCAAAGACACACTCTCAGGTGAGTGGAAACTGAAGATATTTTAATAGAAATCCAAAAACAAAACTGGAACCGAAGCTGGGGGCTGGAGAGGCCCGGGGAGCTTGGCTGGCAGGAGGATGTCTTCAGGAGACTTGCACAGGGCAAAAACTAAGACTCCGGGAAAGTAGGTGAGCAAAGCCAATTCCGGTTGGAAGCATGGAATCTGACAGCCGAGCAAGGGAGAGGAGACCCCAAGGTTAATGAGTGAAAGGGGAATGGCTGGTGAAAACAGGTGTGCCAACAGGAGGGAGCCAGCCACCAACCCCCCTGCCTCACACCAAGGCTCTGCAACAGAAACAGAAAGAGGAGGGGGGAAAGCAGAGAGAAAAAAGAAAAACACAAGACATAATAAACCAAACCATAACAATCAGGACAGCAGAAACTCTACACATCTAGACCAAAAACATACCTGCACACTGCACCTCTACCCATAAAATATATATATTCTCCTTTGTTGTAAATGTAGCACTTATGCCCTTATTGTAAGTCTCTTTGGATAACAGCGTCAGCTAAACAAGTGGAATGGAATTTACATTATATCGAAATTACCTCAGCTCTGTTTGAGATCAGGAAACCACTGCATGCTGACCTGCTGAAGACAGAATTTGACATGTCTTAGGTTATTATTAAGTAAACAAGTTTTGCTTATGCCTAACCAGCTAACAGTCATATATCTGTAGGGTCTTAGGAATATGTCATATCTGAGTGCCTTTAGTCAAATAGAACTTCATTTGTCCCTAGAGGGACAATTGGTGGATTGTCAGTGCTTGGATGTTTCAAGTTGTAGGATCCTGCCAATTATGCATTATCAACAGGCTCTGTCTTGTGATTGAATTCTTGATTGGTTTAGAAGTGTTTCCTGTATGACACCTGGCAGTTTGCAGTATTTCTATTCTATTTTCTGGGAATCCATTTGCTAACCTGTAGAAAGCTTTCACCTGTGCATCAGGAGCACCTGCTTTGTGTTACATCACTATCTAATCTGAGGAGCTCTTCCTCACTTTACAGAGGTTTCCAGCTGTTTCTTCTTCTGTAATGGATAGATCAATGCCTTTTAGGGAAATGCCTGTCAAGCTTTCAGCAGCAGCTCAGTACATAAACCTCAGGTCACTTATGATAGTTACTATCTTACTGTCTGCACTTTTCAAACACTGTGAACAGCAGAGAATGATATAAGAATTTGACTTAACTTTAATCATAGTTACATCATGGTTATGGTGTTTTTCAGTGTTGTCAATAGTGACACTCCTTGCTATTATGCGTCAGGTAAATGTGCTTGCTTTTTGTTTGTTTGTTTTTGTTTTTTCATAGAATTTAATTATAATTTTTTTATGAAGGTACATGATTAAGATATACCAGTTTAATGTTGTTGTTTTTTACATGCTGTGAGAGTTGCAGTTTTTTGCCAGTACCCTAATTCAGCACAACCCTAACCCTAATTATTTTACTGGTTTTTTCTTCTTTAACAGGGACATTTTTAGAGTACCTCACCAGCATTGCTGTATGCAGGGTTTTAGAAATACAGCAATCCAAAAACTGAACTTGCTAGGGGCATCAAAGAATCAAAGTAGTTATTTTTAGACAATTATTTCACTTTTATTGTATACCCCTCGGAGAAAATTCTGAGGTCCAGACCTTGGTGACCTCAATGGTGGGTTTGCCCATTCTCAACAGAGGTGGTGGTACTCAGTAAGAAGGAAGGGTATTTATGTAGACATTAATGCCAAAGAGTGCCAATACTCAGTACCTGTGGCCCGTTTCAGGCACTTTTTTCTCTAAGAGAAGGTATCTAAGAAAATTTGCTGCTTTTATACAAAGTGAAACAATAAGGTTCAGCACCCCTCACCATCCCAATAATAGTTCTACAACCCCTTGTTATCTTCTGACTTGAAAAGGGATGTCAGGCTCTTTCTACAAAATGCCAAACAGTGGTTTTAGGTTCAAGTAGGACAAATATATAAACAAAACATAGACATAAATGGGAAAAAATATTAGTCATACCTCTCAGTACAATGCAATATGATTTTACAAATCCACAAACAACTGCCTCTGCCATGACCATAATCAACACCTCCATGAAACAGTTTTTGTGAAGGTAAGATTATTGAAGGGCTGTTGCATTAGATTGCATTAGTTGTAGCTTGTGTACCTAATAAACCGGCAAGTGGATGTATGCTTAGAATGAATAAATATACTTATATATGTTATTATCTTGCCAGTGTATGCTAGTCCAGAGGCGTCAGAGTGACTCACTGAGTAAGTAGACTGTATCACCTCACTAAGTTCTACATTTCAAGACATGCTGTGATGGAAAGTAAAAGACAATTTCCTTATGGCAATCAGTTAGATTCTTCATTATTAATGTAATACATTGGACCTGCACTATACTCCCTTCTATCAGCAGGAAAAAGAAATCTTCAAATGTCAGTCATTGTAATAGCTAGTAGGTCATAATAGCTGTAAAAGCTGAGTGCTCCAAACAGCCTAAAGGCCTTCCTGCACAGGGGGCAGATGGAGAAAGTGGTGTGTGAAGGAGGGGGAAGGTAACTAATAACAGTTACTCAAATGCTGTACCATTTTGATGTTCATGGACTTCATGTCAGTTACTTGAGTATTTCCATTTTCCACTACTTTATATACCATATTACATTTCAGAAAGAAAAACTGTACACTTTACTCCACTTTGTTTATTTTCCAACTATGTTTTTTGATTTAGATTTTAGGCTACATTAAAAGAAATGAATGAAACATGTGATCAGCTTATAAAATACAATGCATAACTAAAGGATATAAACCGATATTAATGTAATTAAAGGTGCACTTTTATGTTTTTGTTCTAGTTTTGGTGTATTGTATTCAAATGTTCACAAATGAGAGCTGATTTTTTAATATGAACTCTCTTAGACTATTATACTATGTATGTTTTCTATGCCTGCAAAATTAATAAAAAAGTTGAACTGTGTTTAAAATGCATTTTAATCATGCATTTAATATATGGAAATTGTTGTAGATCAGTGTCAAACTTTAGCAGCTAAGCTGTCCCACTAAACCTTAACAATGCAAATCAGGGGAAAAGGGTTCTTGTTGTGTTTGAGAGTCTAGACTTTTAAACAATAATACATTTCCTCCAAAACATTACATAAACATGTTAAGAGAGTAGCCTTCCATTTCCTAAAAGTGAATATTTAATAGTGCTGCTGGACCCACCCAACAGCAGTCTCAGGGGGCAATTTAGATACTAAGCACTTTTACTCATAATCAGGGGCTGGTAGGGTACTTTAAAAATGTAATCCCATACAGTTACTAATTACCTGCTAGAAAATGTAGTCAGTAACCTAATATATATAACCTATAAGTATCACAATATTAAAGTAACATAACTTGATTACTTTCTGTTACCTTTGAATTACCTCATCAAAAAATGTGTCCTCTGCTTGTGTATTTTTATAGAAAAACTGATTTATTTTGAAATTGTAATCCTGCCGAACAATCCCAATATTTAAATGTAAATGTAACTGAAATCTATTACAGTTACCTTTTATGTATCCTAAATAGAAAACGCAGTTATATGTAATCCATTACGCCCCAAGTCTGCCTGTAATGGAGTACTTTTACATTGTTGTATTGGTCTAATGATACTTCTGCACTTTGAATAAAGGACTTTTACTTGTAACGGAGTATTGATACTTTTACTAGTACACAAGTACACGGTGTGAGTACACTGTATGGCATATATACTCTTTTACTGTTTTTAGGTAAAAGATACTTTTATTCACCAGGCTGAAAAGGCAAATGTGAAACCATGCCTTATTATATAAGTGGATAATGTTTGTTGTATTGTTGTTGTTGTTTCTGTGAGTATCATTAGCAGACAATTGCTGCAGTTTCGCCCCCCCCCCAACCTTCAGCTGTCTCATAAACAACATAGGCTACATCACAAACAGTGAAGTGTCTGCCAGGCTTTCCTCAGAAGTCCACGCCCCTGTGGCTAACAGTACATGCCTGCATGGTCTGGCCGAGGATCCAGGACGGTTAGCGGACAGAAACGAAGGGGGACCGCGCACACATCATGATCCGAGACCTCATCGCGTGAAAGCCGAGCTCGCAGATCCTCAACTCCAGCCCTCATCTACAGGAAGGTAAGTCCCGAACGCGGTTATGATCTCTGCGTAATAGGGAGCATATTGGTCCGACATATGGAGAATAACGTAATCTCGGGATACGTTCGTTTGCCGTCCAAAGCGTTCAAGTGTGGCAGAGTTCACCCCCATAATGTTTCCTCAGTATTACAGCGGGGAACTCGAGCTCCTAACCGGATGACTTATCATTGATGGTTAGTGCTGAGCACAGGCTGAATCACAGCTCCTCTCACTGCATTTGCACTTTTTCAGCAGCTTCCGTTTCACGATAAAGTCTAAAGTGTGGCTCATTAATAATAACACCCAAGATATTCTTTTTTTCTCCTGCAATGCGGGTGGGTTTTTTCCATGTCCTTAATGAGACAGGACTTTTTGTATGCCTGGGACTGGGTGTGTTCCAAACATGTCTGTTTTTGGATATCTGGGATTCAGACAAATTTCCTGTCAGGAAGGGACAAGGATATGGCCTGGTCAGCTCAACTCAATGGCTGACTCATCCAGTGGAAAGACAGGATTTTTCCTAAGTATCTACCTACTACAAACTACAGGCTTCAGCTGCTGATCCAAAAGCCTCCTCACCCTACTTTTCTCTGTGCTACTTTCAGGAATCCACACTATTATTAAAACATTTAAAGGGCCATACAGTCAAATAACAAAAATCTAACAAACTCATTTTCTCACTTAGCACTTTTGGTATAAAGTCATGTAATTTGATTTTATTAGCCCAAGTTTTAAGAAATCAGCCCCTGACATACATTAGAGGGGCACACCAAATCTACATACAAGGTTTAGTCTACTTGTCACAAGGATCTCTTCAGACGATATGATCAGGGTTATCTCTGCTTGCGTTTTAGGCTCAACCCTCTAGACCCCCAATTTCCTCTTGTGAATTTAAAAATGGCTCTGTCAACTAATGCCAAGTTCACACTACGTGATTTAAGCCCAGATTTTCCACTCGCCAACTATTTTGGGAACCAACAAAGTTTGTCTGGAATACAGTTTATCTTTCAGTATTATATTGATGCAGTGATGCAGTTTTCTAGAGTAATGTACATTAAGAATTGTTAAAATGTCATATTGGCACGCATTAAGGGAGAGCATAAAGTTGAATTCAGAGTGATAATATACCACTACAGAAAGACTAGGTAAGTACAATAATGTTCTGACATTAGCTGCTGTTAGTTATTAGTTTGATTATTGTATAGATGGCTGATGCTGGCTGATCAGGCTAATGATCAGCTTGTTTTATTCTGTTTCTAACAGCAGCATGCTGACCATTGCTGGTCAGTCACATAGTGTGAAAACCACAACAACTTCAAGACTCCCGATTACAAGACTGAAAGTTGTGTAGTGTGAACAGTACAAAGGGCTGACAACTTTGAAAGTCATATAGTGTGTCCAAAGCTTAAGTTTCCCCATCTTTATAACTTACGAAAGCCAAACAATTGTGTTGTGGGAGAGATCCTGCTTGGAATCACATCACATAATCACCATCAGTAAACAGCGGAACATACGGAGCTCTCACTGGGGCGCAGTGCACCAAAAAGTTGGTAGGGAGGACTGACTGAGTTGCAGCAAATATTTTAAACATGAATTAAGCAATTTTTTCTCATATAAGTTGCCAAAGACACTACCTACTATTACATTACTGTTGTTTGTTCATACACTGTAACATTGCTGTGTGGGCTGAAGTGCAGGATGTTTGTCTGGTGTTTTATTAAATCTGTTTAATCGAACATATGACACATCTTTGGTATCAAATTAAAGAGGAACATGTAATTGTCAATTTCTTTTTTTTTTTTTTTCTAGTTTTTTGAATAAAGCTGTTTGGATTGTGTATGAAAATGCTCTCTTTGTGGTTCTCAGTGAACTACAGCAACATTGCAGAATTGAACTGGGGCCCAGATGGACAGAAAAGTCATTACAAACTAGAGGTGTTGGGTTTAGGAGGCATAGGGTCTAATGAAAGACGCTATAGTGCTGCATTATGGGAAACGCAGGATCCAGTGTTTTTGGAGCTTTACTAAAAGCCAAAATATCTCAATCTCTACTGCTTTGATTTTTACCATTATTTTGATAATCTAAAAGAGTTCCCCATCTTTATGGCAGTGCAATGTTAAATTGCTGGTGGACCAGTTAAATACAATGTTTTTGGGGCACTCACAGCATTGAAAATTTTAATCTAAAAAAGTATTCAAACCTTATACAAACTAATGTGTAACATTTGCCTAATTTAAATGAAGGCCCCTTCTAAACAAAGTTGTAATATCAGTGTGAAACACGTAGTTACTAGTACAAGTGCTGCACTGAAATGTCTGGCCATGAAGTGTACTTAAAGTACCAAAAGTAAAAGTACGCATTTTGGTGAAAAGCTCGGTTCAGTGTTAGAATACTGTATTTTCTGTTGTTGGATTATTAGTACTGAAGCATTAACACATAAGCATAATTTTGTTGTTGTTGCTGGTTCAGATGGAGCTAAGTTGAACTACTTTATATTAGGGTTGTTTCATCTACCAGTTTCATAAGTCAGAGGTTTTAAACCCTGAGGCTGCAGACTGGTACTGAGCCTCAAAACATCTGTTAAAGAGTCATGAGGAAATCTATTCAGCAAAAAAACAAAAAAACAAAATGTTATGTAACTTTGAAGGCTATTATCATCTATTTTTAGCCGTAATTACTTTGCAGTCTATGCTGCAATTTTCTTTATCGCTCCCTGTCACGCCCATAACAAAAATATAAAGATTTAGAACTAGAGTAGGGCAAAAGCATACAAGATAACCAATCCATCATCACCACCTTTCAGCATTCAGCAGAACAAGAAATCTGTGTGCGGACACTACCCGAATGTAGTGGTCACAGAATTGTCAACGGTCTGCTGTTGGACAGAAGTTGGGAACCCCTCATATAAACTGAAATTATCTATGAACTGGTCTATGAACAGCCCTGCAGGGCCAGTGTTTGGTTTGTCCGTTCTAGGGCTAAGTAAGAAAAATTGGTTCTAGTGATTTGGCTGAACTGAACCTTTAAAGTCAACCATCAGTTTAGTGTAAACATCCTCTGAATGGCTTCTCTCCATCCTTCCTGTTGTTATGACAGTGAGATGAAAGAATCAATGAGACATTTTGTGTTGAAAAACTTAATTGAACTATCAAAACTATGATCCCTCTAAAAGCCCCTAGGCTTTTATCAACCTATTCAACAATACCTTACAGCTAAACTCATGAATAATGAACTAAAGTTTGAGTGTAGATGTATTCAGCTATTGACAGCACCTGTCTCTTTGGCACTGTGGAGCTGCAGGTGATAAAACACTGTACATTATGGTCTGGCACCTTGTAGATTATTCATTGCTTTGGCTATTAGACACATACCACACATTTGTATGTAGACTGTCCTCACCTCACTGCTAGATGCCACTTAATCCAACACACTAAATTTCTAGCATTTGTATTGTTTCCACCAGCCCATTAAATACACCGTTCAAAGGCTGTGATGGAATCATCATCAAATATTAACCACTGAGATTTTACTAAGATTACCAGTGCTTATACAGATTTGTTTTATTGCCTAGGCCTTTTAATTCTGAATGACACTGCAGCCACACAGACATTGGAAATAGGACACTTGCAGCTGTAGTAAGCACTTTACAGAAGGTGACCACAGACATTGTGAGCAGAGAGCAGCATCAGGGATACGCCACTCTTTTGAATCACTGAAAGACAGGTATTTAATAGCCCCTTAAGAGACTAATAGCTCCAAGACCATTCTGTGTGTAAACAAGGACAGGGTGAAGACCTGGTTTATTTCAGATTAAATCAAATTGTATTACTGAACAATTAACTCAATTATTGAATAACTCAGTAATAAAGCCACTTTACAAACATGGGATTCTTGGGCTATGATGTTAATGTCCACTTGTCACAAGCTCTACAAAATGAGTCATTTATTAAGTCCCTTGTGGGCACTGATTTTTAAATACTTACATTTGTAAAGTGCATTTGTATAATACTGAAGCTCTACAACAGACACAACATCCGTCGAGGAAACATGATGTATTTTGTGGTTTCTCTTTGAGCTGATGTCAAAGAGGACAAGGGGAAAAAGTTCAAGGTTCAAAGCCTCCCTGGAGAGTGGTTAAGGAGGACGATTTGGGTTTTGGAGTCCTGATTCAGAACAGTCTACAGCTATAGCTCTGTGAGGCTCAATGTTCAGCACTGTGGTGCTTCTGCTAAATGCTAACATCTGCATGCCGACATAATGACAATGCTATCCTGCTGATGTTTAGCAGGTATGTTTACCATCCTCACCTTCTTAGTTTAGTGTGTTATCATACTAATCTTTGTTAATTAGTAGGGTGTAAGAACACGTATCAAAAAATATCGTATCACTGTTTTATTTTGTGATATTGTATCGATTCTCAAAAACCCTGTATCGATTTTTCTGTTTAAACCCCCATCCACTAGATAGCAGCGTTGTAAACAAAAACTGTGGGCTATGATGTAGGATGTTACAGATAAATACAAATGCAGATCCAACAGTTCTGGTTCTCAGCTTTCATTGCAACGCGTCACAATATAATAAATTGTAACCCCGTATTGTGATACGTATTGTATTGCCAGATTCTTATGAATACACTGCCCTACGAATTAGCACTAAACACAAAGTACAGCTGAGGCTGATGGGAATGTCATTTGTTTTGGTATTGTTTGGTCATACTTAATACTTCATCATTGTCATTGTTTTTGAGTGTGTGTTGTAAGCTGTTATGAACCAGAATATCATTTTATATAGTTAAATAATGTCATTGTTTCAAGCATCTGTGGTCAAACCATTTTACCCATTGTGTGCACTAAAAGTCACTTGGGCTTATTTTCTATTGTTTTGTTACAGGCATCATGATTCCTGTGATGGAATTCCGGCAGTTCTCTGAACAGCAGCCAGCGTTCAGAGTCCTGAAGCCGTGGTGGGATGTGTTCACCGACTATCTTTCTGTAGTCATGCTCATGATTGCTGTCTTTGGATGCACTCTTCAGGTCAGTAACAGTGTTGTGTTGTGTTTTTACTTTTTAACTGTAACCATCTCTTTGAAAGTGAAGGAAAAATGTAGCCAATAACGAGTTTGAACTGCAACATATTTGAGTTGCCCTACTATTTTTCCCATTAAATCCTGCATAATTGAATTTGCTACAGCAGGCCTTCGGGCTCTCTGATACAACATTACTGCTTTGCCTGCTGCTTTGGCAAAAACACAGAACCACTAATTCCCTGCTTTTACAACCTGGACTGCGTGCAGCAAAGGAAGCATTCAGCCCATCAGGAGTTTACCAGTGGAAACATTTACCCACCCAGCCCCGCTTAGTAAACATAAGATTCCAAACTCTTTTGGCCTGGTGCTTAACGTCTCTCTCTCTCTGTGGAACAGGAACATGTTTTGGCTCCTGCAATACTCTGTAGTGTAAATCCTGGAAATTATACCAAAACATTTTAGAAAAACTGTTAACAGGATATTTATCAGGGTGCAAGCAGCTATTGTTTCTCAGTCTCACTATAACAGTGTTTGGACATCATCTAATAGTGAGTAAATTGAGCGGATAATTAATCATGAAGCCAAGTTTACTTTTTAAGTCAGGCCATTATCAACATGCCATTTTGTGTAATTACTACATTGCCTCACACAATAATCCCTGCCTTTAGAGTTAGAGGGAGAAATACACAGAGAGACTGAGTTTGTAAAAAATTCTATCAGCTCTTCAGAGACCTCTGCAGACCTGACTTTGCATTTTGATCTGTGATGTGCTGCAGCACAACTGCACTGACCTTACTATAGTAGTAATGGAATTTTAGTATTCACTCCTTACAAATAGAGTTTGTTCGCATTCACATACTGTAATAGTTTAGTTTAGTAAGATTATGTTACACTATAATGGGTTGAGTATCAAGAAGCTAAACGGAGTGCACAAAATGTCTCCGCTTCCAACCTCCAACCATTAAATTAAAGTGCCCATTTCCTGTTATTACCATTGCAGAGTGAAGCAGCTGTTTTTCATTACAAATAAACATGAAAGGCATTTGTTGTATACAACTTCTAGTCAGTATTCAGTACGTTTACATGCACTTTGTAAACTGGTTACTCAGAGAAATCAGGTTTGCCATTAGCACAGGTACAGAGTACAAGCACATTGGAATTCTTGCACGCTTGTCTCAGTCAAAAAACAAGAAAAAAAATGATAGGGTAAAGAGCAGTTACAAAGAAAGAAGAAAAACAGAATGCATGTGGGTGACACACTTAGCAAAAAAGAACTAAGAATGAATAAGAAGTACAAAGATAGAAGTAAAAATAGAGGTGATATACAGTGCCTGAGCTGAATGCAGATGTGCGTGTGGACTGAACATGGCCATTAACTACCTTACTTACAGTACCAGTATAAAACAGTTTTATGTGTTGCGGTGATGTAACACTGCATTGGTCTACTGTGTGACAGCAAAGCACAAATGTAATATAATAGTCAAATGCTTCTTTAGGATACTTTGTATTAGTTTCAGTTAAAGTCAGACTTATTAGACTAGATGCACAGCAATATTTTAAATGTGATACCTGTGATGATCTCTCCTTTCATACCACCACTGTCACAACGATGCTCTCCCTCTTTGGAGACTTTGTCATGCGCAAAGTAGAGGGCCGATTAGAAACCTGGGTTTGCGTACACATGGCCAAGAAATTGGCTTTCTTCAGAAGAAATCTATCTGAAAAAATCTGCTTTTTTTATTTGGAACTTCAGACTGAAAACAGCCCTGTTTGAAGGCTTATCAGTCACCAAAACACTGCATTGCACTGCAACTGTTTATGTTATCATGAGGAAGGATTTCACTGCTCTGGAAAGTTATCATAGTGGCAATCATTTTACATTTTGCCATTACAGTTGTGAGGCAAACAGTATAAATATGGCATTGACATTACAAAGTAACCTACCAGGAATATCAGCTTGGACATATTTGATTTGCCAAAACAGTACCCTGCCAGATAAGGTGCAATGCCTTCCAGCAAAAGTTGAGGCAGGTGCAACTTTTTTGCCATATATCCCTGCAGTTTTTGGTCAGAACCATAAGCATTGGCACTCCGGTTGCATCAACTGTCTGAATGCTGCACACACTGATTGTTGTTATTTTTTTTTACATTTTGTTTTAGGTAATGCAAGATAAAATCATATGCCTTCCTCACAAGAACACAACTGACATGGACCTGCAATCCAATATTTCAGCTGTACCAAGAGAAATGACAGGCCTGAAGACCGATCTGGATCTTCAACAGTACAGTTTCATCAATCAGATGTGTTATGAGAAGGCTCTGCATTGGTATGCCAAGTACTTTCCTTACTTGGTTCTTTTGCACACTCTAATTTTTATGGTGTGTAGCAACTTCTGGTTCAAATTCCCTGGCTCGAGCTCTAAAATTGAGCATTTTATCTCTATGCTTGGCAAGTGTTTTGACTCTCCCTGGACCACACGAGCTTTGTCGGAGGTGTCCGGAGAAAATCCCGAAGAAAAGGAACACAAAAAGAGTGGCACTTCTAGGTCCAATCTTGCTGTGTCTCCTGGAGAAGGCGATTTGGAAAGGACGCAGTCTCTCCGGTCTATCCCAGAAAAGATTGTAGTTGACAAGCCATCAGCAAGTGTTCTTGATAAAAAAGAGGGTGAACAGGCTAAAGCTCTTTTTGAAAAGGTAAAGAAGTTCCGTTTGCATGTTGAGGAAGGAGACATCCTCTATCTTATGTATGTTCGCCAGACAGTGTTCAAGGTGTTTAAATTCCTCCTGATCATTGGCTATAATAGTTCTCTAGTGAATAAAGTGCAAAATAGAGTACATTGCGAAGTTGACATCCGGGACATGACAGGCTATAATGACTTTGTATGTAATCACACTATGGCTCATTTGTTTTCTAAGCTTTCTTACTGTTACCTGTGTTTAGTGGCTGTCTATGGATTGACGAGCCTATACACCTCTTGCTGGCTGTTTTACCGCTCACTGAAAGAATACTCCTTTGAGTATGTGCGACAGGAAACAGGCATCAATGATATCCCAGACGTCAAGAACGACTTTGCTTTCATGCTACACATGATTGATCAGTATGACCCTCTGTATTCTAAACGATTTGCAGTTTTTCTATCCGAGGTCAGTGAGAACAAACTGAAACAGCTCAACCTCAACCATGACTGGACTGCAGAGAAGCTGCGTCAGAAACTGCTGACTAACTCCAACAACAGACTTGAACTTCAGCTGTTCATGCTCCCTGGTTTACCCGACACTGTCTTTGAGTTGACGGAGCTGCAGTCACTTAAGCTAGAGATCATCAACAATGTCACCATCCCTGCCTCAGTCTCGCAGCTGAAAGACCTTCAGGAGCTGTCTCTTTACCAGTGTTCTTTAAAGTCTCACACAACAGCTACCTCCTTCCTCAAAGAGAACCTGAAAGTGCTTCGTGTGAAGTTTGATGATAACAGGGAACTTCCAAATTGGATGTATGGCCTGCGCAACTTAGAGGAGCTCTATCTCACTGGATCCCTAAGCCCTGATGCCTCAAAAAATATAGTTCTTGAGTCACTGCGGGAGATGAAATGTTTGAAAACCCTCTCCCTTAAGAGTAATTTGACCAAGATACCCCAGTCTATAGTGGACGTTTCCAACCATCTGCAGCGGCTGTACTTACACAATGATGGCACTAAGCTAGTAATGCTCAACAATCTGAAAAAGATGTCCAATCTTATCGAGCTGGAGATAGTGCGTTGTGATCTGGAGCGCATCCCACACGCAATCTTCAGCCTGACGAATCTGCAGGAGCTTGACCTTAAAGAGAATAACCTTCGCTCAATAGAGGAGATTATCAGCTTCCAACATCTTCGAAAACTCATTTGCCTCAAACTTTGGTACAATGGTATCATGTATATCCCAGAGCATATCAAGAAGCTTGGTAGCCTAGAGCGCCTCTACTTCAGTCATAACAAGATTGAGATATTGCCTTCGCACCTGTTCTTGTGCAACAAACTGCGCTACCTGGACGTGTCCAACAATGACATCCGATTCATCCCTCCAGAAATTGGAGTCCTTCAGAGTCTACAGTATTTCTCTGTCACCTGTAACAAAATCGAAAATCTACCAGATGAGCTCTTCTTTTGCAAAAAGCTCAAAACACTAAAGCTTGGCAAAAACTCGCTGTCCGTACTCTCGCCAAAGATTTCCTACCTAGCTCTACTGACATACTTGGAGCTCAAAGGCAACCACTTTGAGCTTCTGCCACAAGAGCTTGGTTGCTGTCGTGCTTTGAAGCGCAGTGGCCTTATAGTGGAAGAGACACTGTTTCAAACTCTGCCTTCAGATGTCAGGGACCAAATGAAGGCAGAGTAAAATGCCTTATTGTAGCCACAGTGCCTGCTGTTAGTTCTGTTTACCAGTTCAGAGCATTTGTTTTATATGAACTCATTACCATACTTTAGTATTACACTACTGTTAAGAAAGTTAGGAGTTATATCTCCAGTTTCCTTGACGAAGGGGAACAATTAGACTCAATATATTGTCACATAGAGTGTGGCTGCAACAGGGTTGCTTTTCTGTTGTTAGAATTTTAACTTTTGAAATATTATCCGGCCATAAATCCTTCTTGGCGAGAGTTAGATGAGACAAGTAGCCTGGCTCTTTCTAAAAGTGAAAAAATACACCAGCACTAATTAACTAATTAACATGTTACAGCTTGTTTGTTTAATCCGTAAAAAATGACAAGTTGTGGTTTCATAGGGAGTTACATGCTGGACTGTTTTTTGGTGTGGTGCACTTCCTAGAGCCTCTTAATTGATGCTGTTAGGTGGACAGAGCCAGGCTAGCTGTTTCCCCATGCTTCCAGTCTTTATGCTAAGCTAACTGTCTGCTAGCTGTAGCTTTATATTTTGTCTACAGACAGGAGCGTGATCTTCTCATCTAACTCTGCTTTCAATGAGAAAGCAAATAAGCTTATTTCCCAAAATGTTTAACCATTTCTAAGCACATTTACTGCTATATACAACAATTTAAGTACTGAATGTAAATCTAAACTGAAGACCTCACTTAAGTTTAGGCCACTAGCCTTACGTATGCTGTATTTTATACATTTTATTTTGCTCTTATGAAGCGTTTTATTTCCTTCCAAGAGACTGTTAGTTCACATGGACCGCAGCAGGGAGAATGCAAAAAAACAAAGAATATATCATACATAAGTACATCGTATACCTTGGCTAAACAATTCTGTATATAGAAAGATGACATTTTGAAGTGCATTAAACTTGAAGGACTATGTCATACTGGTGTTTTTCTTCGGGTCTTGAAATGTGCACAACAAGTATGCAGCCTATTACAAAAGTGTATTTTTTAATATTTTATATTGTAGTATTTAAGTATTTACTTAAAAAATGCCATTTATTCGGTTGGAATTTCTAACAGCACAAAAATCTACTATTTAAAAAAAGTATTAACAGATTTTGACAAACAATTCCCCAAAATACCCAACCCTAACCCTAGGATTGCAATATGCACTAAAGTAAATGTTCGAAATTGACTAGAATTTTGGAGAAAATATCAAATTCAATCTATTATATTTCTTTATAGCTGAAAGGGGTAACTGCACATTGTTCTGAAATGTGTTGTGGGATAAGATGTCACCTGCTGGCTGGCGAGGATTAATAAGCAAAGAAGATTAGTCTATTATTATGCATACATGGGGCACCGATGGAAAAATAAAGTTGGCATAATGGAAGTGTAACAAATATTTTGAAAAAACAAATAATGGACAAAGAGATTTAAGAGATTGTGGCTGCAAAAGGATCAGTCCTAGATTTAATAAAGAATCAGAATTTTGATTCACCAAGTACATGCATACAAGGAAGGAAAGTAAAATTATGTGATTTTTTTTTTTTTTTTAATATGTGTAATAAAAACAATAGTAACTACAGAGGATCATATATTCATTATATAAATAATAACTGAAGTTGGATTCTTATGTTATTTTCTTATTTTATAAATTTGTATTTATGTATTTGATTTTTTTACAGTGACAATGTTCAACTGATGTCCCTTAGGCTGACAAAATAAAATGACAAAGCTATTGAGGAAAACAGCAGAAACTGCTCATCGTGTCAATGTGTTTAACACTGACTGAAGAATGGCCCATATGAAAATAAAGTTATGAAGTTATTAAGTGTTTTTATGATGACAAACATGTCCTATTTTATTCTAGTGAGAGGTTGCGTGTCATTTTTTTGTAATAACGAAACATAAAAACGTAGAATTACATTTTTCGCACTTTTACGACGGCCCCTTAACTTCAGTGGGTCATCTCCCTCTCTACTGTCAGTCCGTGCAAGCTTTTCAAATCGCTACATCATATCAGCTCCTGATGTGAAGTAAACAACACCAGTGCAACGTTAGGCGACATTCATCCTGCACACCACAACAGAACTGATGACAACTGGTGGTGATGGTGAAACGTACGGCGGATCGAGTGTGTGAATAACATCAAACCGACCTACACCTCAGCAGCTGGTGCTGCCGGGCCGGCTGTGTCGCCAGTCACAGGCAGAGGACCCGACCATCTGAAGCGGAGTGGGGGTAGTCAGCTAAGCTGCTTATAGCCCGGCCAGCAGGCCCACGGTTGAACCGATGCTTAGAATGGACGGCTTCATCATCGCAGCGAAACATGGCATATAAAAGGAGGCGTTGTTCGCTACTGCTGGCATCGACATAAGTGGATCAGCCCTCCTGAAGGTGAGTATCTGTGCCTTAGAGCGCCGGACCTCCTCTAGTGTTATTCAAGATCCACCAATATAACGCTATGCTCTGGCCCGACGCTGTGAGCAGGCTTTATAGTGTAGGGGAAATAATAGCGGGGTTGGGTAGACTGTTAGTATGAGGCAGCAGTGAATGTAGTGCACTAATGTAATCTGAGTGAGTCATGATTTTTTCTTCAACGGAACCCAGATTTTAGTGCTGCGTTTAAAGACTCCACGGACATCAGGTCCACCTCTTGTTTTGTGTCCATGGATGAGTCTTGCCGCTGCAGCCGGTCTCAGCCTGCTCTGCAGCCTCATTGAAAATATAGTGACCTTCATGTTTTCAACACAATAGAATTTAGTGGCAGTGGGGGCACAGAATTTTTTAAAATTATTATTTAATGTATTTTTGTATAACCTACACGGAAAACACTTTGATATGTAAATATAACATTTCATATAAACAGTACAGTCAACATGTCATGGCTTCCCCAGTATGATAGTGGGCACATGTGTGCTGGCAGGACATATGATTGTAAACCCTGTGGAAGGAGGCTCATTTAGAGAAAGGTACTAGCACAGAAAAGCACAGTGCAAATAAAAGTAATGGAAATGGTGTGTTGTATATATTTTAGATTACATTTTGCTTTTCAGACTTTGTGTTGCACATGGAATGCATGTCTCTTCAGACAACTGTGCTGTGTCCAAGTTCAAGAGCAGTCCTCGCTAAATCCATAACAATCTGACAAGGCCGTTCTCTCCAACCCTGCTCCACACGTGCCTGGGAAATGTGGCCTTGCCTATCTTCCAATCCTCTGTATCCCAAAATTTAATGTACACTGGGGATATGCTAGTACTTGTCAACTAGCACAGCCAGGAAATATAATTTTTCACTAGGTGTGATAGACAAGTGACCAGAAAAATAGAAACAGATGCACAGTGTAGTCTAATACAAAGCAATACAGTAAATCTAAATGCTGTCTTCCTAAAAGTATTTGTTGAGACTGCTACTTCAGCTGTTCTCTGATGTACATATCTAGACTTTAGCTACTTTGTCTTTGTGTTATAAATGTGTCTTTTTAATATTTTCTCCTTGCTGTTTAAAATTGAAATTAAATATTAGAAACACATTAGAGTTTAAAGTGATCCAATACAACAGCATTACAGTATAAAGTAATTTACACCTCTTTGTTCCTTCTGCCTTTAAAATGTATTTTTTAATACAAGACTGTATTGGATTGCATTGGATTAGAGGACACAATTCACTTTTGGATTTATTTTTTTCTGGTCACTGATCACTGTGAACAGGAATATGATTCAGACATACACTCTATTGTGTTAGCAGCCTGGATATGCCTTCATTGCCATCACTAAATCCACTATTGTGACAGAAAAATTAAAGTTATATGGATATGTTTGTCATGTAACCGTTGTTGCAGATGTCCATCCTGTATTAAAGTGAAAGTCACAACTATGTAAACTTAGGTAATATGGAACAGAGTTTTATGACATTTACCACTTCACCCATCCAAGGACAAATTCCTGGTGGTAAACATGAACATTTTAGATTGTACAAGTTGGCAAGGACTGCCACAAGGCACCATTAATTGTGCCCTCTGTGGGGGCAGAAGTAACTGTGTACAAGTCTAAATCCTGTTTGGGAGCTAAGCTAAGGTAAAAGCGTTGTCCTGCATTAACATATTTCTATTATTATTTTCATAAATTCACATTCTGCCAAAATTACTTGTTCACAGGGCTGGTCACAGCTAAAAAGCTTTGCTGTAAATGGAATTGCTAAGACAAAGATAGTAGAGAGAGATTAAACTTCAACCTTACTCAAAAAGCTTGTACTGGACTGCAGAAAGACAGCTTACAGCTGCTTGTGCCAGAGCCTATGTGTGAAATCTAGGTGGCCATAATTTCCATTATGGGCACAAAAATCTACTGGGATAAGAATCTCTGTATACATTTTGTAATGACAATAACATAGCATTGTGTTAATTCATATTCTCTGTTGCAGGAATGTTCACCCTCACAGAGGTAGCCTCCCTGAATGACATCCAGCCAACTTATCGAATACTGAAACCATGGTGGGATGTCTTCATGGATTATCTTGGTATTGTTATGTTGATGTTGGCCATATTCTCTGGAACGATGCAGTTAACTAAGGACCAAGTGGTTTGTCTTCCTATTCTGGAACAAACTGCAGAGGGGACAGGGGGCTTCTTAGGACCCCAACCGCCAGAGACACCTGATAGTTTATGGAACAAAGAAAGCGCCATTGGAGAGCAAGCAGCTCCTTTGATGGCTAAAAGGCCTCCTGATAGCATCGCCCCTACAATTCATTTCACACAGCCGGGTACATTTGGGCAGCCTCAGCCTACAGGTGTCAGGACCAAGCTGGATTTTCAGCAGTATGTTTTTGTCAACCAGATGTGCTACCATGTTGCCCTTCCTTGGTATTCCAAATATTTCCCATACCTCGCTCTAATCCACACTATTGTACTGATGGTCAGTAGCAACTTCTGGTTCAAGTACCCAAAAACCAGTTCCAAAATAGAACATTTTGTTTCCATACTGGGAAAATGTTTCGAATCGCCATGGACCACCAAAGCCCTGTCTGAGACAGCATGCGAGGACTCGGAGGAGAACAAGCAGAGATTGGCTGGTGCTTCCTCCCTCCTGAAGCATCTGTCCACAAGCAGTGAGGAGGGCAGTCCGAACCAGTCTGCCCCAATTCTGACTAAATCTGGGGTCACATTTTCTGTTGAAAAGCTTGTGAGTGAAGTTCCTTCTATGACCATACTGGACAAGAAAGATGGTGAGCAAGCAAAAGCCCTGTTTGAAAAAGTCAGGAAATTCCGTGCCCATGTGGAAGACAGTGACTTGATTTACAGATTGTATGCCATTCAGACAGTCATCAAAACAGTTAAATTCATTTTGATTCTGTGCTACACAATGACTTTTGTTGCCTCTATTGATTTTGACCATGTGTGTGAGCCTGAAATAAAGCATTTGACTGGATACGCCAAGTTCCATTGTACACACAACATGGCGTTCATGTTAAAGAAACTCCTTGTTAGTTATATTGCTATCATATGCGTTTATGGCATAATCTGTATATATACACTGTTCTGGCTTTTTCGGCGACCACTTAAGGAGTATTCATTTGAAAAAGTCAGAGAGGAGAGTAGCTTCAGTGACATTCCAGATGTTAAGAATGACTTTGCGTTCCTCCTCCACATGGTCGATCAGTATGACCAGCTATATTCGAAGCGTTTTGGTGTTTTTCTCTCTGAGGTGAGTGAGAACAAACTTCGGGAGATCAGCCTGAACCATGAGTGGACCTTTGAAAAGTTGAGGCAGCATGTGATACGCAATCCTCAAGAAAAGTTGGAACTCCATCTTTTTATGCTGTCTGGAGTGCCAGATGCTGTGTTTGATCTAACCGATTTGGAAATCCTTAAATTAGAATTAATCCCAGAGGCCAGGATAACAGCTAAAATCTCACAAATGATAAACCTCCAAGAGCTG